TTTAACCCCCCCCCCCCCCCATGGGGGGGCGGCCCGCCCCCTTCCCCTTTTGGGGAGCAGTTTTTCCCCCCCCCCCCCAAAACCCTCTCAAATGCGCGGCCGCTCGCCCCCCTTTCAGGTGTGCGAGGAGAGCGGGCGGATGCATCAGCCGGTGCCGCCCGAGCTGGCGGCGGAGGCAGAGGCGGCCGCCAAGGCGGCGCGGGAAGCGATGGACGAGGACTAGCGCGGCGTCGGTGGTGGGCCGCCGGCGCTGGCCAGGGCGGGCGGCGGGGGCGGCGGGGGAGCCAGCGGCGCGCGATGTGCTTGGGGATGCGCGCCAGTGCTGTTCTGTGGCGCGCGCCGCGTGGCGACTCCCCGCATCGCGCGAGGCTGTCGACGAGGGGCGGGACAGAGCGAAAGGGCGAGGGCTGTCGCGGAGAGCGCGGGGGCGACTCCCACCACACCCCGCGCGCCCTAAGCGAGGTCGAGCTACAGTCCGTTTCGGGTATAATCCACAATCCATAAAATTAAATAAGCCAAAACGCCCCACAGGCCACAGCGCGCGCATGGCGTCTCTGGGGGGAGGCGGGGGCCCCCGGAGGCACCGTGCGCCGCCCGCAGCACTGCGGAATTCCGGAAAAACTACAAACTTTCGGCGGGGCTCCGGCCCCTCTCCGCTAGTCTCCGTTAGCACCGACTTCCCGATCTAACCCGGTCTAACAGAGGGCAGATTTGGAGAGATCTCGAGGAGTGCATACAGATAGACCCACTAACCATCAGAAAACTCCAACCTGATCGGTCGTACTGACCGCCGACAGATCAGGTAAGGTAAGGTAAACTTCTCCACACACACGAGGTGGTGGGGCAAGGGGGGGCAACCCTCGCGTCTCCACGTCTGACGACAGGAGCCCCACGGCATTCAAAGTGCAAGGCCCAGTGCGCGTGGGTGAGCGGTGTGTGTGTGTGTGTGTGTGTGTGTGTGTGTGTGTGTGTGTGTGTGTGTGTGTGTGTGTGTGTGTGTGTGTGCGTGTGTGTGTGTGTGTCTCACGTCACTGCATCCTCCGCCGGTTCCTCCCGTCGCCTCTTCTTTGTTCGAATGTTTTTCAATCCATCCTTCACGAAGCCCTCCCATCGAGAGGTGCGACGCCTCGACCGCGCCGTCCGTCGACGCGGCCTCGCCGTCCGCCGCGAGCAAGCCCGGCTGTTCCTCGGTCGCCTCGGCGGCCTCGAACCGAGAGAAGGCAAATGCGGTGGCGTGGGGGCCGGCGAGCTCGTACATGGCCGCGTTCCCGTCGATGGCCCCCTCCGCCATCGCAGACGTCCGAAAGGTGCCCGAAGCCGGGTACTCGTCGACGCGGCCGTGGCGCGGCTCGGCCGACGCAAAGGCTTGCCCGATGATCCCATGCGGGAGGTGCCGTGCCGCCACGCCGCCCCGGGCGCGCAGCGAGATATCGAGGCGGTGGGCCGGGCCGGAGATGCGCTCGTACACCCAGTTTCCGCGCACGACGACGGTCCAGTCGCCGATGGTGAACTCGGCGCTCGAGAAGCGGACGGCGATGAGCATCTCCTCGCACCGCTTGGAGGCGCCGATGCCGAGGAAGAAGTCGCCGCCGCCGCACTTCCCCGTGATCATGTTGAAGCCCGTGTTGTACTCGCTACGGACAGGCCAGGGACGGGTCTGGCTGGAAACAACGGGCGCCTGGGTTCCTATCCTCTGGCATCGCACTTTAACTCGCTCGCCCAAAACGAGGCGAGGCAGAGCTTGTTCTTCCGCCCGCCGACGCGCGCCACAAAGTGCACCTCGGTGAGGAAGGACCCGTCGACGACCAGCGTGCCGCCCTCGTCGTAGAGGTTGTGCAGCCGGAAGGTGGCGTCCTCCGTCTTGATGTTGATGGCCAGGCGCGGCGCCGAGAGGAAGCAGTAGTACTGGCCGTCCCGCCCGCGAAGGTCGGCACGACCGCCGAATGGGAAGGAGAGGTGCGGGTCCTGCGCACGGCGGCGGCGACGATGTGGTGAGGTGAGGAGAGGGAGAGCAGGAGCCTGCGGGTTTGGCCGTGGCGGCGGACCCGAGCAAAGTCGCCCTCGACACAAGGCGACGCGGAGTCGCTGTCGCCGCGACCTTCGACGGAGCGGTCGCCACCGATCGCTGGGAAGTAGCAGAGCTCCAGCCGCTCATCGCCAGTCAGGGGTGCGCCATCACAAAAGTTGAAGCCCTAAGTATGTGTGATGGGCCATGTCGTGGACTAGGTCGTGGTGTGATGGGCCATGCCATGGATGTGCTAGAGCAGCTGCTAGCAGCCGCTGCTGCTTAGCTTCTGGAGGGAGAGGTGGCCATTGCGACACCCCCCTCGACTGCTGCTGTGCTGGCCGCCGCTGCTGCTGCGCTCTGCCTCTCGCCACACTGACTGCCACCGCGGGCTCTAGCCGCTGTTGAGGCTGGGCTGGGCCACAAACTACTGGAAGCTCGGTTGCCTCTGGGCCGCGATAGAAACTCGCAAAGGTGCCGATGCCGTCAGCGCTGAAGCCCTTGCCGCCCTGGACGACGCGCTCACGCCTGGGGCCGGCGAGTATGAAGCCGTTGTCGCTGTGCTCACCGCCGCCCATATGGAACGCCGTCGCAGCAACCGAAGTGCCCAGGGATTGAAAGTACGGTTGGATAAGATGCCACTGGTCGGGCGTCGCGTCGGCCGTGCCGACAGGATTCGCAGTAACAGCTAATAATTTTCGCAGGATACGAGGCGTTTGCCACTGACGTGTGCACAAGTCTACACGGACCGAGCACAAAGTAGTCGCGGACAGCAGTGCCAGCCGTGAACCCGAGAGCCTTTGGTCCGCCGCAGGCCCCGCCGGTCACGACAGCGAGGATCGAGATGTTGGCCTCGCCGGCAACGACGGCGGGGTCCAGGTCCCCAATCGGAATTCTTCGGAACCAGCAATTGTCGTCTGCTGTCGGGCTTCCAAAGCCTGGGAGGGCAGCGAAAGTCGCCTCGCCCTCTGGCACCTCGACGTCGCTTTGCCCCCACCAAGCCCACCACCGCCGTCGCCGCCGCCGCCCAGTCCGCCTCCGCGTCACCGCCGCCTCCATCACCGCCACCACCCTCGCCGCCGCCACCATCTCCGCCGCCGCCCAGCCCGCCATCCCCCTCGCCGCCACCGCCCTCACCGCCGCCTCCGACGAGAGCCCCCCACCACCGCCGCCGTCACCGCCGCCGCCGTCGCCGCCGTCGCCCTCACCGCCGCCACCCTCACTGCCGCCGCCGCCCCCGCCGCCGCCGCCGCCGCCCGGCCCGCTGCCGCCGTCGCCGCCGCCGCCCTCGCAGCCGCCGCCCTCACCGCAGCTGGCCTCACCGCCGCCGCCTAGCCCACCACCTCCCTCGCCGCCTCCACGGTCGGGTTCGCACCGAGCCCGCCGCCGCCGCCGCCGCCGCCGCCGCCGCCGCCGCCGCCGCCGCCGCCGCCGCCGCCGCCGCCGCCCTCACCGCCGCCACCGCTGCCGTCGCCGCCGCCGCCCGGCCCACTGCCGCCGCCGCGGCCTCCGCCGTCGCGGCCTCCGTCCTTCTCGCCGCAGCCCTCACCGCCGCCACCGCCGCCGCCGCCGCCGCCGCCGCCCTCGCCCCCGCTGCCGCAGCAGGCCGCCGTCGCTGCCTCGCAATCGCCGGCGCCGCCGCCCTCGCCGCCGCCGCCCTCGCCGCCGCCGCCCTCGCCGCCGCCGCCGCCCTCACCGCTGCCTCCGAGCCTGCCGCCTCCCTCGCCGCCGCCTCCGAGCCTGCCGCCTCCCTCGCCGCCGCCGTCACCGCCCCCACCGAGCCCGCCGCCGCCGCCGCCGCCGCCGCCTCTGAGCCCCCCACCGCCCTCACCGCCGCCGCCGCCGTCGTTGCCGCCGCCCAGTCCGCCGCCGCCCAGCCCACTGCCGCCGTGCCGCCTCCCCTCGCCGCCGCCGCCCTCGCCGCCGCCGCGTAGCCCGCCGCCTCCCTCGCCGCCTCCACCGTCGCTGCCCCCACTGAGCCCGCCGCCGCCGTCGCCGCCGCCGCCGTTGCCGCCGCCGCCCTCACTTCCGCCACCGTCGCCGCCGCTGCCCTCGCCGCCGCAGCCGTCGCCGCACGCCGCCCAGTCCTCTCCGCCGCCCAGCCCGCCTCCGCCCAGTCCGCCGCCGCCGCATCCGCCCTCGCCGCATCCGCCCTCGCCGCCGCCGCCCTCGCCACGCCGCCCTCATCGCCGCCTCCGAGCCTGCCGCCTCCCTCGCCGCCTCTACCGTCGCCGCCCCCACCGAGCCCGCCGTTGCCGCCGCCGCCGCCGCCCAGCCCGCCGCCGCCCAGCCCGCCGCCGCCCAGCCCACCGCCGCCGTCGCCGCCTCCCCCCTCGCCGCCGCCGCCGCCCTCGCCGCCGCCGCCCTTGCCGCCGCAGCCCTCGCCGCCGCAGCCCTCGCCGCCGCCTCCGAGCCCGCCGCCTCCCTCACCGCCTCCACCGTCGCCGCCCCCACCGAGCCCGCCGCCGCCGTCGCCGCCGCCGCCCTCGACGCCGCCGCCCTCGACGCCGCCGCCCTTACCACCGCCACCGCCACCGCTGCTGCCCGGCCCGCTGCCGCCGTCGCCGCCGTCGCCGTCGCCCCGACGGCGCAGCGGCGGCGCAGCCACCCGCTTACGGCATCGTCTTGGGGTTGTGCTCGCGCCGGCCGACCTCGCCGAGCCGCGAGCGCGCGCGAGGGAGGCATGTGCGTTGCGCCGCTCAGCGGCCGTGGAGGGCGAGCGCGGGGGATGCGCGCGCTTACTAGTAAGTGCTACATTGTGCGTGCTGTATGTCGGTCTGCACACTGTACAGTGCCACGGTGCCAGTGGGGTGTGAATGTGAACACTGACCCTCACACACTAAGGGTTGGTCAACCATGTGGGTGTCTATGTGTTTCCCTCGCGCAGTAGATTCTTATTTCATCGTCAAAAAGCGCCCGTATTCACTTGCCAAAATCGCGACCCGGGGTGTTCGACCGGGCTAACACGTGACGTGTGGCCTCAGGCCTGTCAGAGCTTGATCTCCGATCTCAGCGACGTCGAGTGTGTCGCCTTCGGTGGCGACAGCTAGGATGCATCTCCTCCGTCGTTTTTCGCGCGATGGGCCCTGAGAAGCTGGCGGCGCACGCAGGCGGACCTTGTGTGTGCGCGGAACGCTTACAAATTGGGTGCTCTACGTCACTTTTTTTGATAGTCATACAGGTCGTGCCGAGCTGGCCGTGACAGCGTTTTTGGTAGTTTTTGGCGGGTTTTGCACCACAGACTTTTTGCAACAAGTCGGACATCAGTGCACTGGCAGACGTTTACAAGCACGCATGTGGGCATTGCCATCTCATTGAGCGCGTGTCGTTTTCCTGAGGACACATGAAGAGCGAAAAACACGCACAGCCGCACGCGCAGCGAGATGAGGAAAGAACTGTTTGTAATCTCACATGAACGAGTTGCTCAGCGCCGTGCGCGCTAAGACGAGCTGACAGTGACACATCTCCATCCCGATCGTCTAAGACCCGCGCCCAAACGCGTTCGGTACTCGCAGGAGCGCACACATACAGACGCGGCCCAAATGCGAAGTGCAAGCGGTGGGATAGACCGCCCCCACACGCGCCTCTGCCCTGCTAGACCCCCAGCCGCCCGCCCCGCCCCCCCTCTCCCCACCTCTGCAAGAGAACAGGAGGCAGTGCCCTCCTCAGCAGAGAGGCATCCGCGACGACTCGGAGGCATGCCCAACATGCCTGCTGTGACCCGGTGTCCCCACGCGCACTCACGCGGCCGCCAGCTTACTCTTTCGCTTCGCGCCGTTGAGCTTCGCGCGCTTCTTCTCCGTCGCCGGCGCCTCGCCCGCCCCCTCGCCGCCGCTGTCGGCGGCGCGCTTGGCACCGCGCGCGGGCTTGCCGTTCTCCTATCCGCAGACCTTGTTATGGAGAAGTTGAGAAGAAGCTACCTCCTAAGGCGCTGCGCGCTGGTGGGTGAGAGGGTCGAGGTGCGGGCCCTGGAGGCCCTGGGGGTGGGGGGATTCGCACACACACACGCCGCGGCCGTCTGCGCTCCGCTGTCATGGCGGAGGACGTCCGCATCTCTGCCGCATCTCTGCCGCATCTCTGCCGCATCTCTGCCGCATCTCTGCCGCATCTCTCTGCCGCATCTCTGCCGCATCTCTGCCGCATCTCTGCCGCATCTCTGCCGCATCTCTGCCGCATCTCTGCCGCATCTCTCTGCCGCATCTCTGCCGCATCTCGAGAGGCTCAGCGTTCCGTGGCGTCCTCAGAGCGGGGAGGGGAGGCGAGCCACCTCTCCCCGCGGTCGGAAACGCAAATGGTCAGGGTGCATCCGCGCCAGAGGGGGCTCGAGGGAGGGGGGACATCTGCCCGATCTCGGGACACGATCTCGGCACGATCTCGGCTCTCCCCCCCCCTTC